ATATATATATATATATATATAATGGTATATATAGTGGTATGAAATGATAAGTGTAGATGGTGATGATGATGCCAACCTACAAACTTACTGAAAAATAATAATAAAACAAAAAAAAAAAAATAAAGGGAGGTATCTTCAAGAAATAAAGAGACTTCGACAAATTTCACTGAAGTATAATCAAGTAATTTCGATGACATAAGGTTTGACTTCGTGATAACAAAGTTTGTGATAACAAAAATTTTCGTTTTTTAACAACGATTTTTTCAAACCGATTGAATTTGCTGGTAATATGCGTCACTAATCATAAAATTGTTATAAATTGAATATCAAATTCAGATGCACTGATTTCAGTGCACTGACTTCAACTTAGATGATTAAACTGCAACCCTACTTTGTTGTGATACAGCGCACATCCTTCTATTCAAAAAAGATATTTCTTCTACAGATATATCTAAAAAAATGATGACTACTTCCACGAAACTCAAATATGAACGCACTAACATTTAAATTAACTGTTTCAAGATTTTTGCAACTCTACATAATCACGTCACATCAATATCTGCAGTCGAACGATTAACATACTAAGCAGAAGCAGTCATTTGATAATCGTGCATCCTTTCCTTACTATTTTAATGATGGACCTTGGATACACTTAAATGGGATCCAAGTGATAAAGATCCAAACTTTGCACACATTTTTTGGAAGACCCAGAATAAAAAGGTTTGCAAAAAAAAGTTAGACAATAACAGGAGATAATAAGCGCAATTTTGATTAAGCAGATTATTATAAACCTGGCAAGTTCCGCTATGATCGTCCTAAAAAATAGGAAAGAAGGTTAATTAAAGCGTCTGAAAAGATAAACTTTAGCCTTCAGGAAAGCCAAAAATAGCTTTTGGACTATTAAGGAACAAGAAATTTGATACCGATTCGAAGCTACTCGGATTCTAAATCCGAAATTAATGACTAAATGTTTTCCACTGAGTACGAGTTGAGTTTACTGATAAAATTTGAAACTTTTTTAATTCTCATAGTTCATATCAAAAACGAAAGTCACACCTTCTTTTATACATTTCCAACTCAACCTGCCGATGATTGCTGCTTTCAACCATAGATTCCATTTTCAATTTCAAATTCGTCAGAGAAGCCAGGTAATGGTCTGCTTCCTTAATTAAAGAATTCCAGATTTTTCTACATTCGAAAATCAGGATGAAACGGAAATCAAGGCAAATTTAGCAAAATAAAGAAATGAAACGGAAAAAATCGAATACTCAACCTTTTAAATAACGTATCTAAACGTATCTAGTAAATTACTAGCTTACATTGCGATAAGTCTTTATCTTCTCACAATATCTCTTTTCAATTTCTCCTCGTTTTGAACGCTCTATGTTACCTTGCTTCCGAAGATCTGTTAGAGCATTTACTAGCTGTTCTTTTTCCTAAAAACATAATTTTCAAAAAATTAAGGGTTTGAAATATGATGAAAGAAGGAAAATTCATTCAAGGAAAGGAAGATAAAAATACATCTATGTTAACTTTAATAAATTTACCAAAATAACTTTTTTACAGTTCTCCTACTATTAATACTACAAAATTGTTCGGGAAATATCACGAAAACTTACAACTTGTGCACTGTGAAGAGCCATACTGAGTGATATTTTTTCTGACTCCAATGATTTCTGTTGCTTCAGACGACCTGAAAATATTTTGGAAAATAATCCTTTTTGGAGCTGCTTTATCGTCAACACCATGAAAACCTCATTGAAAACCTACAATTTGTGTATCGCATCGATAATCAAATGGAACTTGTCAAAAAATATGCTCTGTAAGCTTTTTTTAAAAAAACTTTAAGATTCCATCGCAATGACTTTAAAATAGGACGTAAAAAACTTTCCAAGTTCCAAAGATAAGAAACTTTAAAGTATGTAGCCTTCAAAAACCCGTTTGATGGCAAATTTAATTATTGGAAAAACTCATCTCCCTTACCGAAAAGTCGACGATTTCGTTCGGCATGAAGCAGTCTTCCACAACGTTCGTATAATAAATGTTGATTAACAAGTGCCAGACGGACATTGAGCACTTTTATCTGATAACAAAAGAACTGCTCATTAGAGAGTGATAAATTTAAGTAAGATTTGAAATCACATATTATTCTCAGTTGTTTTCAAACGGCTATACAGGATTATTGAGAACCCTTATTGTTGGTGAAAGATCTCTATAGACAACATTTTCACGAAAGCAGCATGAAATTGCATTATAATAACAACTGTAACAAATGTATCTTTTGCATTTCCCATCTCCGCGAAGTTATCAATTAAAAAAGAAAAATAAACTTGAATTTCAGCCGAAAGGCCCTTGAGTTGTTCGGAGATATCATCATAAATTATTGCTGGCAGACGATCGGCTAAGCCAAGTTGTTTCAAGCATGTATGATAATCAGCGCTTGCTTCCATGTAATTCTGACGTGTGCGTTCATGCTCACATTTTAATTCTTCATTCAGATTTTCTTCATCTTGAAAACTTTTTATATATCATATTCATTAAAAACTAGGACCGCAAGTTGTCTTGGAAGCATTTAGCAGGCCATGATCACAGAAGTTTGGCGTGAAAAGCAACTTTTTTGTTTGGCTTTTCGGACTGGTCAGAAATTTTCAAGTTTTGAATCTACAACAAATTTTCCTTTATTCGGCAACTTAAAAATTTAAGCAGAAAGAATAAAACTGGAACTAGTTTCATAACTCATAATGCCATATATTTGGTAAATCAAATTAACCAGATAAGACTAAAAATTGATCAACGATGTCAGAAGCTTTGATATCTTCTATAAATTCTATTATCTGCTTTTGTTGTCATCATATTCGCTATAGAAACGTGATGTCTGTAGTGATGATCTATGATAATGATAACAAAATATAATTTAAAAAAATGCTTTATAGAGAACTGAAGCGCTTCATTAACAGATAAACAACATTGGGACGAACTAACCAATAAGAGAAAAAAGAAGAGCTTGCAGGAACGGAAGATACGGACATTTCTGAGCAATTAACTCTTCAATGTCTTCAGTAGAGAATTCCCTACTCCTGGCGGTCATGAACTGCTTTTGCTTCAAATCATTAAAACTGCATACTTCTTTATCATCCAATTCCGAAGTATATATCAGAGCGGGGCAGGAAAAAGCATGAAACCTGAAGAATGAAGGTAATCTTGAGAAGCTTGTTTAAAGTTACTAGCTGTAAAATAGTCAAAATTCACGACGTGAATATTTGTTAGATCTACTTAAACTGCTTAACAAAAAAAATGGCGTTTAAACTAACAATGGCGTTTGTGAGAAGTTCCCCATATGACCGAGGAAATGAATTGCTTCATTTTTTTTATGACAGCATCCATTTATGAATCGCTGACGATTGACTTTTCGAAAAAATGAAGTCACCGAAAAACGATTCGCGTTATCAGTGGAAATGCTTCCACTCGTTTCCTCGGCTTCATTCACTTTAAATTCTTTAATCTAGAACAAAATGAAGTGTAATAGTTTATTGTCACAATATTAAACTCTCGAATCAATATTTACTTGAATTTCAAAATTTCAACTCATCACCAAGCAAACTGCATGAAGTACCTAAGGTAATATCCCCTATTTTAATCTATTCTACTTGGCACTGCTACCGAAAGTCTCAGTTTAACCTAGAAGCTTTATTAATCTTCAATTTCCCCATTGTAAAGAAATGCAGAACCTTCCGATAACGAATAGTTTCCATATTATTATCAGTGTCAACACCCTGCTGAAAGCTTTTGATAACTCCTGCGTTTGTTGCACTGTTTGTTGATGAGGAAATTTCAGCATTACGATTCCCAAACGCATCCGAAGTAAATGATTGTGGCTGATGCATGCTTTCTAGCGGTACAATTGTTGCAGGAGTGTTTACAAATGAATCTTCTGAGGGCTGTACTGATGAAAATGGGATGGAAGGTGAACAAATTTCTCGAGCATCCACACCCTGTTCGATATGTCCAGTCTGTAATTAAAACTCTTATGGAACTTAGACGAATCTCACTGAATGTTAATGCAACAAATATTTTCGAAATTTCTGAAGTGAAGCATGTCAAACTTTCTAATCAATTGCAGAGAGGAAAACTTTAAGAAACTAAAGTAACCGTACAGAATAAAAACTAACTTCATCACTCCGTTTCTGGATATCTTCACGTACAGAAATTTCTTCAATTGGTTCATCGTTTATTGTTCCATCTCTTGTAACCAAAAATGTTTTGGGAAGTGGTAAACTATGAAGCAAGGGTTCGTCGGACAAAGTTCGTGACTTCTGGAATTATAAGCAATACGTGTCACTACTGTATTACTCGTGAGTACTCACTACTAAAGTCATGTACTATTTCTTCGTTAAGGAATCAAGCATTCATACGTTAGCCAGCTCAAATCAAAGCTTTCAAAAAAGAAATCATGATGGACTACGAAATGAAAGAGATGAGGAAATTTACACGTCTTCGAATAAAATCATTAAACTTCTGGGTTAAGGACGATCGCCTTATGTGTTTCGAATCTGCTGCACCAGTTGTTGCTCGTCGGGTACTTGATTCTTTACATGAAAAGTAAAGCAATTCCCAGGAAACTCTTGAAAAGTAGTGATAAGGATCCAGAAAAATCCTTTAGTGAAAAATCATCTAAACGGAATCGGAAATATATGTTTTCCTCAAAATCATAAAGATCAGAAAATTTGTTTACGCTCACCTGTGGAAAAGCTTATGATTATATCTGAGACGCGGTTATCTAATGATCCAGATCTTGACTCCGCAAGAATATCCGAATCACTTTTTCCACATTCTAGCCATGCATCATCATCATTCCAGTGATCTAAGGACGTACCCAAAGAATCTTCTGGAAGGAATAAATTTGACATTTACGACAACTTGTTAAACAAAAGTTGGAAAGTGCTATTTGCTGTTTTCTTTTCCACAGATATCTTGGATGTATCATCGTTATAGAACACGCTAATTTCAATCACTAAAGTTCATAAAATAAGGTAAACTGATCAGCAAATAGTAGAAAACAAACAATAAAATGAATAAGATAACCAATGAAAATAACTACTACCTAATTTTAGGTTATTTTTTACAGTTTTTGAGAAAAGTAAATATTTCATTCTGAGAGGCAAGTAACAAGAACCGTAGATCGAAAATGGAGAACAGCAAAAGATTGAAAAAACGAAAAGAAACATCACTGAATTTTAATTTAATAAATTAACTGGATGATGATGAATCTGTTTTTGTCGGGAATAAATCATTTAAATCTGGCAGCTGCGATATATAGGACATTGTTGAACTTGACGTATCCAGTGTGTGATTTGACGAGATTAATTTACCAACTGAAAGATATAAACGTTGTTTAAAACGAATAAAATTAGGCCCATTATAATTTTGGAAAATAAACGTGGTGCAAATTGAAGGAATAAAAACGAAACAGGAGAAATTTGACACTGTTTAATACTTTCGGACTCATTATTAAGCAAAAAAGCAAAATAAAAAAAAGAATCTTCTAAAGATCCTCGTAATAAAACAAGGATTTTCTAAGTTGAAACAGAGGACCTTTAACAACTGCTGGTAAGACCGGTCGTACAAGCACATGTCGACAATCAGCTAAAAAATCATGCGCTTCACGATGATTCCAGCGATTTCGATCTAGTTCCTACAAATTGAAATACATATGGAAGCGCTTTTATAACTAATAATATAGAGGCAACAGGTGAAAATAACAACAATCCAAAAATATAAAACTACAGAAACGGTAGGCAGTGCTTACCGTGAATTTATTTGACCTGAAAACAAAATTTTCAAATAAGAGCAGAAATAAAAGTACTTCACATTAACTGAAAAAAATCCCAGTTTCGAAATTGAGAATCAATGGAAAATAATAATGGGAAAAAGCTGAGAAGGAATGTTGCACTATTTTCTTGACTAACAACAATTTAATATCAGCTATCTAATGCCGCTATTACAAACGAGACTTATTTTTCCGTTAAAAATATTTACCTGTTCAACGGTAGCGCTTAATATGTTCGGATGGAATTTCACAGCGCAAAATAATGCTTTCAAAACATGTATTGCTCGACCATCCGCAACATTTACATGATTTCTGGGGGAAAAAAAACTTATGGCAAAAAGGATGCTTCGGAAATTATAGTTGAAAATGTATTTATATTCGATGTATAAAATTTAATGCTAGTCTGGGTTCATTATCTTTAAACCTTGATCATATTGTCATTAATAATTAACTTTGAAAAAAGATTCACATTAAAAATAATATATCAGTAGCGATCGAGAACAAGACCGCTTACGACAAAACTCATTCAAATAATGCTTACCTTAAATACTCTACCAAAGTTGCAGGGTAAATCCCATATAAAACGATGAAATACTGGATTACTGCACCATACAAATGTGATACATATATTCCTTCAATGATATCTGCTTTCTGTTGGTCAAATAATTTCTTGAAATTATGAAGCATATTACATGCCACAATTAGTAGACGAAATAAGTTTAGCAATATCGATTTTTTAGGGGCAGCGAAATGTGGAAGCAAGGAGGATACGAGAAGGATCGCCGATACGACCACAACAATGTTCTCGGATGGCTGTAAAAGTGATTTTAATTGATTTTGGTCTTTCAGATTTTAAATAACATGAAGCTGTTAAATATTAAGCAAACATATATTCATCTATTTATTTTATTTACCAGATTCTGAGTTGCAGTAATGATAATTTGAAAGCTCCAGTTATCAAATATCTATTATTTTTATTAATAAAATCATTTCTGAAGCAAAGGCAGTGAGATTTACGAACAATTCAAGTCTGAAAGACCTTTCCTCACTCCTAACATATCGACACATAATCGCAATACAGTTAAATGAAATCATACATCTTATATCTTCTGGACAACTCTCCAGTACACACTGCTGATATTTTTATAAAGAGAAGACGATAAAGAAACTGACCCGAATAAACTTTAAGATATGGTCAAAAAGTGAATGCTCAGCAAGCTTTGGTAACCAACTTGGAGTCTTCTGTACTAATTGTCCAAGAAGTGTAAGCATAGCTAGCGTATTTCTGGCCAGAAAATCTTGAATTCTGTTGCACAATTCCTGTAATGATTTCAATACTGCCAAAGTCCACAAATATGCAGAAGCCGCTTAATTTCTTCCATCAATTTTTTTTCGACTGGAATTGAAAAAACTAAACCTACCGTGTCATAAGGTTCCTTAACATTGCAAAGCAATTCCACCGCCAGAGGCGATCGGTTCTGCATATAGCAAGTTACCAGTTGACCGATACCTTCTCCTGGAATAGTGATGAAATCAGATCGCTTTTTACCTATAATTCAAACTGAAACACACTTTGATGCACAATGCATGTACTGCTCTATTCTCTTGCTTTGGTTTGCAGAAAATTTTTTAACAAAATAAACACCGATAGAAACAAAAACTTATCAAAGTAATTCGATTTGATCATCAATTTCTTATAAAGTCATTGAAAGATCCATTTTACTGATTAAATTACTAATTAAATCTATTTGCTTTATGCATAGGCTAGGCACATGATTCTTTTATAGATCTACTTTCTTTTATCCCGCGGCATTATTACTACCTAATAAAGCTAATGTGTGACATCAAAACTGATCTCGCGACAAACTACTTCGCACTTATTGTCAAATTCTTCCTCATTTGGTCAACTTATTGTGAACAAGGAAGCAATACCTTGATTGATCAGCCTCTGCAATGCTTCCAGAGAATCTTCAGATACCTTAGAATCCAGCGATTGAGCATAACGAATCAACTGCGTTATGCTATGCTCTTTTCGTTTCATATTCCTTACTGCACGTCAATGTCCTTATAGGTTTGGCATATTTGTCGCTTCCTCGGAGAGAGGATGGTTACCCAAAGATAGTTAGGATAGTTACCCTGAGCTCAGATAGCGCTCCTGAAAAGCTTCGCATAGCCATGATAGGATCGAATACTTGAATATTGTAAAAAAAAAAATCTCATAAGTTAGTAGGGGTGGTGCTGTCACAAAGAAGTAAGAAGCGCTTGTTAACGTAATGAATGATCTAAATTTAGCTGGCTTATGTCGTGTCTCGGCAGTTCGAGTGGGCTCCTGTCTATCTCAGTAATAGACTTCACGAACTCCTAAAAGTCTTGATGATTTGTTTCTTTTGAAATGACGCTAAAGTTTGAATTTACAAGTCGAAGTTGGCTGTGATTGATAGAGATGTCTGCATTTTACTTATTGTAGTAGGAGAGAAACATGATGAAATACCCACTTCGCGATAAAGTATCACCTGCCATTGTTCCTCAGTTCATTTTTTTAATGATACACATCCTACCAAGTATAAGGGAACTTCCATGGGCCATATCTGCTGAAGTTGTGTGAAATCCAACAAGTGAGTCGCACTTAGCCAAATTCTTAACTAGAAGTTAAGAATAACTTGAAAACTAGAACTGTTAGCTCCTTAAAACACCATTTATACAAATAGGCACGGACAGTCCACAACTACTACTTCCTAGTTGTTATAAATAATTGGCCAGTTTTAACTCGTCGTAGGAGTTCCGAAAAACGGTAGTATCGTTCTTCGGTTACGTTTACTCTGTTTAAGATCCAGATATGTTTAAGACTTAAATATCAAATCAGGCACCTTCTAATATTGCCACATGTGTTGTTTTGCAGCTGTTTATGCACCACAAATATACAAGTTCAGATCCATAAACTAAACAAAAAAAAGATGAATGATAAAATACATCATTGTGGAAGAATGAATGATAAAAGTTGAATGGACTCGAAAAACGTTAGTTTGAGAATGACTTCACATATAATTTCCGCTTTAGTCTGAGCCAGATTTATAGCTATACACTGCTCCTCTAATATGAATTTTCATCTGGGGGAAAGGAATGAATAGTTCATTTTATGCATAACAGTTGGAGGAAGTTTTGAAATTGTGTATTTGAATTAAAACTTCAATTGCAGTGCTGAAAAAAGGAAAGACAGCAATATTAACAAACGAGAGAATGAACAGGCGCAGACTTCAAGACAAACTGAGCTATTCGATTGTCTTGCGGACAGTTTCCTGTACAAAAGACCCTTGCTTTTTTACTGTTATACAAGTATCAACATCCTGTATTAACACTAGAAATAGTTGAGGCTGGGATGAAGTTCGGTGGACAAGCAGCGCCAACAAAATTAGTCAAGTCATCACGCGGACGACCCAGATCGAATAAGTATTTCAGATCAGCAATCGTTAATTTACTGAGTTTCTTTGATGCAACTCTGAAATCGTTCCAAAAGATTTTTTTGAGATTTTAAATGCTTCTGTCAAGAGTTTTTTTTTTGAAAATACACTATTATATAAATAATAATTCGGGACGCAATTCAAAAACTAAAATTTGAAGGATATCATCACAGACAAAATTAAAAAATTTCTAATCGAAACAAATGACAAATGTATAATGTAACTTCCGGTTAATGCAGCCTAAGTTTTCTGAAATTCTTTACAGTAAAAGTCAAACTTTAAAAAAGTCATCTGCAACGCATTCAAATATAAAAAGACCACTTAATCCTTCCAAAAGTGGGAAATTTTAAACCAACTGAGAACAATAGCAGAATTGTTTGATAACAGAAACCAAGACAACTGTAAGACAGATATGGTACGTCAAGCCTGTCTTGAGGTTTTAAGATTCGGTCACATAGCTTCGCCCTACCCCTCCCCCAAAAAAAATCCAGCTAAAAAAACCTCCCAAATAGTGACCTCAGCTATCACAACAAACGGATCTTACAGCAGCTTTTAATGGAGCTAAAAAGCTAAAAAACATAGACTGAACACAAAACTTACCCCTCTAGAACATCCTTAGCTAATGTTTGTTTTATTCGCTGTAATGCCAAAACACGTTCTTCAATTGTTTCAAGACAGACCAGCCTATGAAAAGTTTTTCAATTTGGTAGTTGTACAACATGATATAACGAGCAAGGTTGTCATAATTCTACAAAAATGATTACAAAAATTCTACTTAATTCATGAAAATATTTAAAAAAATGACTTAACAATTATAAAAATTAATATCCGATGATTATTTGCGAGTGAATATTAACCTTATTCTCTAGAGAGATTTTTCGGAAATAAATCTGAAATATGCAAATTTCACTAAGTTTCGACAATAACTTATAACAAATTCAGACTTGTGTATAAAAACATTCTTCGTTTGTCCAATTCTATAAATGCGATCACAGGCCTGTTGTTCGAGGGCAGGATTCCAATGCAAATCGACGAGGAAAAGATGATTACCACCGACTAAGTTCAACCCTACTCCGCCGGCTGTCAATGATAACAACATAACACGAGGCCCACTGTCAATCTTGTTAAAGCTATTAGCTCTACTTTGCCTGAAGCACTTTGATTAACTTTTGAATATATATGACAGAAAAGAATTTCGATGCAAAAGTAATGCGGTAGCTATGCAAACGGAAAAAATTGGGATCCTAGCGATAAACTATGAGAAAATTTTAAAACTACGAAATGTTACAAATGGATAACTATTTGGAACTCTGTGACATATCTACTCGTGATATAAAAATTTATGACAATATTCCCTTCTTTCATCGGAAAATGAACTGAGAAAGACGAACAAGAAAACAGCGACAAGAACTACCTGTCACTGCTCGAAACTTTCCCATTGATAGATGTATATAAAATTTCCTTCCGTCTCAAATGGTGCTCTAGAATGTTTAAAAGACTGGTCCACTGGCTTACAATAACACTGAAAGATATCAAACATTATAAAGGGTGCGTCCAGAAGAAGAAGCTGCTTTTATGATGAAGATTATATGCGCGATTAATAAAAATTATAACGGACTTTAATGTAATCCAAGACAACAATAAAAGGCTTAGATAGGCAGGAATATAGAGAATAATTAAACTCAGTAATTCCGACCCAGACTTGACCTAAATCATTGGAATTCACAGAAATAAAGTCGTAAAAAACCTCATGCAAATATTACCATTTATCGCCACAAGAAAGAGCATAGTCCATGTGTTCAAATAATTTCTTGAGCTGAAAATTAAGGCTCAGATTTTCAATAAATTTGAGAAATAAAAACGGAACTAAAAGTAATGTGGAAAAAGAAAGGGTGCCCAACCTGAAAACTCAAACTGCGGGTTAAGGACTATAACATTGCATGATGTAAACCGTAGCTTTGATGTTATCTGAAACCGGATTATATAATATGTGAGAAACCAACTACCTTCATTGAAAGAAAATTTTTCTCAAAGAGTTGTTCTATTTGTTTATTGCCGTCATCATCCAGTAACTTCTCGGTGAGGGCTTTTTCATCCAAAAACGACATATTCGAAAAACATTTCGACAACATTTCCGCATTTTCATCCTCTTCAACGCCTAATGTCTGGAGTGTTTCCATATTGACTGCCTAAGAAATCGTTAATTTGCGAAAAGACGACATGAATACCGTTACTTTATTTTTTCATTTCGTTATATTATTTTAAGTCGATATAGGTAGATTTTTCAAGAAGACCTAAGTGGTTAATTAGTACCTGACTGATCAGTGCAAAATGTACACAAGCTTGTCGTAAACGCATTAATAACGTTAGTACACAAGTCATTGTTCGAAAATTATCGTTGTTTCGAGTCGTCCGTGGACCATCTATAATAACTTTATAACTACCATCCCAGCCAATTTTTATAAAATTAAGACAACTTCTGCATAAAGATCTTAGTATCATTGTTGCTAAATCCGTCTATTGTGGAAATATTTAATCCAAATAGCCCTATTTCAATTTGTCTAAAGAAATGTTGTGATTCCATAATCATACATTGCGGGTATAATCTTCCATTTTTCTTTCACAGTTACATCAGTAACATACTGTATTTGATGCTTTGACTTCCTAAGCACGCTAAATGTCTCTGATCGTTGAATTTAAATATAAAATCTAACAACATAATTTATGAAGATACTACAGGTATATAGAGCTTCATGAGCTAAATTTTAAATCTTCGCTTCAAGATAATTAACATTTACATACTACAAACCTGAAAATGGATTCCTCGCTGGTTTATTACTAGTACTTTTCCATCCAATACCATACAGATCTCGTTCTCTTTCCTCTCGTGTTTTGATTAATTCTTTTACTTGCTGCCTTTAAGTTTTCGAAATTCTCAAAAAATTGAAAAATCTACCTTTCATTTATGTTACCTTTTTTTACTGGAAGAAAATCCATTTAATTACATATGCTCATAATCTGGAAAAACTATAGTTGTGACAGCAATAGTTCCATCGCCGAAATTTTGGATAATTTTTCTGAAGTTACATTCAACAGTAGTAGCTACCCCAAAAAACTTCTCTGAATAAATACTAACCTTGAAACCTGAAAAATGTAATCATAAACTTTCTTTTCCATGCCTTCAAGTTTCATAACAATCTCCTCGCACTTTTTTAACCTTAGATCAACCTATAAAAAGCAGGCTATACCAGTCAAGCTTTAGTAAGAAAATTTTAGAATCATAACATATTTCCAGTAGCTCTACCTATAACTTCACAGTAAGGTTTGTAGTCTTATTTTAGTCAGATCCGTAAAACTTCAAATACTCCAATCAAACCGATCTTTCTAAGCCCTCAGAGTAGTGACAGAGAAGTTCCAGCGTTATTTTGATATTAGTTGAGTGACACTTTTCACTTCATAAATTTATTTCTGCACGGCATCTGTTAAAAAGCTGATATATTAGAGATAGCTTTAGCCGCTGCTTTTACCCAAGCTCATGTAGCACCTTTTGGTGGCGACATCAAGCATATTACACACAGTTTGGTTCCAGAGTTTCTGGATACAAGAATTAGTATGCCATCGCTATTAACCCTTTCTTACAAATTTCTAATTTTCCTCCGCACTACGTATGCAATTTCTGTAACAAAAAAAATAATGAAGAAAATACAATTGGTTTATTCGTTTCTGCATACAACTGACTTTTTTCTCGCCGCAGTAACAAGCCTTTCACCAAGGTATTTAATCTTTCTGATGATGAATCTGGAAATGAAATTTTCGAAACTCAAGCTGCGTAAAACAGAAAAAATATATATATAATATAAATCAAGAAATTAAGGGAGAACTCCAAAGAAACAATCATACGTGCTGACAAAATATATTCTTTCCAAACAGCTTCCTCATCAAACGGCACTACACGCAGAAACCTGCAGTGATTTTCAACATTAAACATAATATAAGTTTAACAAGCCAAACTTGTTAATGAAAAAAATATAATTAATGAGAAGAAAATATGTCCTAACTAGGCAGGAACTCCATTACAAAGTATCCAATCCAGAAATAATAGGAATATATGAAAAACCTGATCAAGGAATATAAATCCCATAAGTTATTGTGAATTGGTGTGCCTGTAAGGCACCAACGGGCTGCAGCAGGAATTTTACAACACGCTTTCGAAATCAATGATGTTCTATTTTTGATTTGATGCGCTTCATCCAGAATGACACGTTCCCAGGCTATCTTAGTAAGTACGGAGCCCGATTTTTTTGAAACCTGAAATGAACATCAAGATTTATTCTTATTTAAATTATGTTTTTCAAAATAATTTGCAAATGACCTGTAGAGGAATTCATTCCAGCATCTTAAAAACTTACTTACTCAATAATACTTGCCAAAAAGTTTTGAAGTTATGACAAACCTTTCGTTTTATTTTTCCTTTTCCATTCTGTCCTTCAGGGGAACCTTTCGAATCACTATTACTCCCTTCATCTTCAATACCAGCTGCAGTGAATTTTTCGCTTAATTCATTGCTCACAATTCCATATGTAGTGATAACGACGTCATACCTTGCAAGACTGGAAAAAATTTATTTCGAAAGTGTCATATTAAGTCAAAAAAATTCCAAATACGGATATGAAAAATTACCATTCTGCGCTTATATCGCGCTTGTGTTTAGGTCCATGGAACAAATAACGAGAAAGAAAGCCATTTTTCACATGTTTTTGAAATTCTGTCTCCCACTGGAAAATTAACGAAGCTGGAGCGACAATTAGTGTAGTTCTTGACGGAATTAAAGTGTAGTTCTTGACGGAATTAAAACTGTCTGAAGACAAAAAAGAAGTTTAAAATGACAATGACGCACTTATTTCCATTTATTTCTATAATGAGGTTGAAATAAACAAGAATTTCACAAAAATTTAGATGCAGATAAAAAATACTTTGTCATGAAAAAAAATTCATGTTCTATAGAAGGAATATAGAAGGAAATAATCTATGGAGGTACTCAGTTACTAATTTCAAAAAAAAAGTGTATTTAGAAACCAAAACCTAAAAATAACTGTCAAGGACAGCCAAAACCCAATAAAAGCCAATGAAACTAAAAATAACCTTTAATGACTCTTTCGTTTAACTCTTCCATCACATCATTTTGCTTACGCCTTTCTTTGGTGTTTACAATAAGTGAAATCATACTTAATGTCTTGCCTAGTCCCATGTCATCAGCTGAAATCAGATAGTGATTTATTTAGAGTTTTTGAAACAAATGTAGATAATATAAATTTAGTAAACGAAAGTGTCAATGTATCAAAAAAGGGAAAAAATGTGCTTGAACATATCCCTCAGACAAAGTTACATTTAAATTTCAAATCTAAATTGACAACAAACCTATTTTTTAAAACAGAGTCCTGATATAACAGTAGTAATCTAAGAATAAAACCCAGTAAAAACCTCAGATACCGAGGATGCCACCAGGTAACAGTTGTTTCTCACGCCACAGCAACCAGGTTAGGCCTTCTTTTTGATGCGGCATTAATTCGGTAAGCAAACTCATTGGTGTATCCGTTTTTACATTTTCTGGGACATTTGCAAGTGAACTGAAAAAAAACTTGGCGAAATATGAAGAAAATGCAATATGTATACAACGCTGATATTCCAGCCAAATTTTTGAATGCAAAATACTCGACGAATCTGAAGTCTAACAGAAAATATCCTTTAGTTTTATCAAGAATCCTAAATTTACCTGTGCATCTGAGCAATAACTTGTCCAGTAACTGCGTTGGCTAGGTAAATTCGATTACCCGTCATTCTTCCACCAAAAAGTCGATGTCCTACGAGTGGAGAATGAAAAATGAAAAATGAATTCAACTTTCTTCATAAGCCTTTTTCAATGTTTTAAAAAAGTTTCCTATTAATTCATGCTTTTCATTACAATAAATAACCTCCAGTCATAACTTGAGGAGAAATGGTTGATGGTCCTTTTTTTTTTGAACAATACCAGCTTCTTCCTTTCCAATAGATTCTGCAAAATCACATCTCTACCAAAAAATTTTAAAAACGCAGAATTGCTGCTTTTTGATCTCTCCTTAAAGTCATCCATTTATTATGGAAAATCAAAGATATCATTCAGCTATGCATGTCACAGATGGAAATTCCATTATTTCGACCATATATTTCTTTTTTTTGCAATATTTTCAATTTTTTTTTTGACAGTAGCCATTTAGATCTTCATATTGTTGGCCCTAAATCAATGAAATCAATCCATGTGCAGCAAGAATTCTAGTCTTCCCTTATTTAAAAACGAATTTATGTCCGGTTGCTAATTCATCGTAAAATGGTAGCAATGAGCATAATCTTTATTACTCCAGCGTTCAGAACTTGAAATGACAAAGCTCAATATTTTAAAGCTTAATATTCTTAATAGCTTAATATTTTATTGCTAAAAATTCTCAATTAGTTGTAAATTCAAAAAATCAATATTTCTTCATTTCATATTGTTGGGATAATCCAAATCCAAACCTTCTGGCGCGACATTTCCATCCTTTCCAAGTGCATCCAGGCTATTTAATTTTTTTGTAATATTTTAATTTTTTCCAATAATCGCCTACCGCAGTCTGGTAATTTTGATAAATTCGCGCTTCGTTTGAGACTCTAAAACCAAATATTTACAAAATATAGATACAATTATAACTTGGAAGATAAATCTCTTGAATTACCTTCAAATTTTCCAACTGCGTTTTCAATTCTATTTTCGATAAGGTGTCTGGAATCTGAAAAAGAAAAGTAATGTTTTTGCATCAAATATAACTAGTCTCAATTCTCAAAATAATCTATCGTTCGATTCACTTCAGTAAGATATTACCATCACCTCATCAGTTAACGTCCATTATTGAAAACAAGCAATATTTTTCAATCGTCAATAAGTTTTTGATGCTCTTCTCAATTTCGTTAACCGCAACTCATTCTAAATTTCCTCAATATTGGGAATTAAATCCCGTCATAAAAAAATGAACAGTAATTTCGAACTTTTGAAAATCTCTTTATCACGCAAATAAAATTCGTAATTGCTGAAATATCACTAATACAAGCTAACTTTCTGTGCAGGTCTTGACGTTGAAGTGAGATGCGACGGAGATAAATGACTAATAATTTGGATATCATCTTCAGAAACATCATGAATTGATACTGCGGCAAGTTTATTTGTGGTAATCTGGAAAAGAAACTAATATTCTTTTACAATGTAGCTTATCAAAGCTGTGTTTTTGTTTGTACCTTCCTGTTCTACAGTTTCTACCTGCTTCAACAATGCATATTCATTGAAATTATTAAAAGGTAAATTTAAATTAACAGTGTTTTGTGGCAATAATAGATTGGAGCTCGACTGACGAAACAAAAGAAAATTATCCATGCATAATAGCAGCACAGAATGAAGCTAAGAGATCGTTAAATAACACAAACTAAACCGACCTAGCCACAGGGAAGGATTAGTTTATTCGAACTGAAAATATAACAAACCTTCGTTCATCACACAATGATAAGAGCAGATGAATCACATATGAGCATTACATACCCTATTATCACTTAGCTAAGTATCAGTTTTTCTCCATCAGTTCTGCCCCATTTATAGTTCTGTTCAAGTTAACAAATCGTTATTTCTCTGAATTATTTTGAACTGCCTGCTTAAAGAAACTAAATTATAATTAAGCAATTTTTGGAGGAAAGACAGATGAGAAAAATTGCTTCATTAATTCAACATTACCTTAAATTCAAAACAGAACAGTTGAATCTAAAACTCGACTAAAGTTAGATGCTATAAGATGCTTTCCCACCACGCCTTTCTTTTCAACCTTCCCTCCTTCTTTTTTCATTTCCTCTTCTGTATCTTCTGCATATGTTTCCCCTTCTCCCTCCCTCCTCCCCTTCGATTTGCTAGAAGTCCTGCATTTGCTTCGTCTTGATGTTTTGGAAATCGTTCCGAAACATCTGATGACTGTACATACATATTCAACGTGACAGCTAAAGTCGTTTTGAATCCTTCAGCAACAAGAAAAAATAGATTGAAAAAGCTCATAAATTTATACGTACTAGAACACTTTCTTCCATGTTATCCAATACTTCAATCGACGAATTTACGCTACTGATATAAACGGAACCATCATTCGAGCTAATTGATGTAGTTACATCTTCAATTTCATTCAATAATTTCGGCATGGGTATGTTTTCTTTTTCGTCTCGAAATGACGAACAGCTATTCGCATTAACAACTGCAGCTTCCAATGAAATGATACATTGCGTACTACAAAAGCAAAATAATTCATGGAGGTCGCTTTTTATCACAATCGATCGCTTTGTAGCAGTCATTTATCATATTCATTATCTTTATCGATGACGCCATATTCAATGTAAAACTGACGCCGTTCAAAAATATATTCCCTTCGTCAAAAATGCTTTTGGTCTTTTTAAATCATATTTCCTGAACTTGAGAAAGCAACAGAAATGCAGTCGCCTTGGATTCTCTAGCAACAAGAAAAAAAAATATTCCATTTATTCTACAAAACTCAAATATACCTAATCGCCATGTTCGTTGGCAGGATTTCCTGTATTTCTTTTATTTTTGAATTGTCGGTTGAGTTGCGGCTACTCATCTATAACATTCAAACTCACTGACAAACTTTTACTTGATTAAAGGAACATAATATATGTTGGATTTTCAAAGGATAATAAAAACTTGTAGGAAATGCAACACGGAATTTTCCCTTAAAAGATAACTGGAATATCATAATTATTTGAAAATGAGCAATAACACTGACAAAGAAGATAGGACTCTTTGTCAATGTTATTATCCAGTTTCGAATCGTAGACACTACTTTCTACAAGGTTTCTAGGAGGCAGCCAAGAATATCTAACTTATTCCAGTTATCCTTATTTCATCCAGGAATACAAGAACTTAGAGCAGAATTCTTCTTTCCTCAAGTGTCTACGCTCATAAGCTCTTTTCGAAGATTTAGATTTAACAAAGCAATTTTAGTTTCTTTTGAATCTGGCATCGTGAGGAACTTCAAAAAATAATCCGCTCACTTTTTTATCGTCCTTAAACAGTTCCGTTTCACTGCCTGTAGAGCTTCGGTTGCTGATATTCATGTTACTAATGCAGTCTGCTGCACTAACTTGTATTGAACTAGCAAGTATTTTATCATCAGTCAACGAATTTTTTAGGCTTGCAATTTCCGGTACACGTGCAGCCAGAACAGCATCACCCCATGCAATTTTTCGCTTCTGCAAAGATAACAATACTTGCATATGCTATTGGGGGGGAAAGATAAAGAGTTGAAAATACAGCAGATAATTCCTGAAATTCTTCGAACCCCTGTCCAGAAATTTGTGATTTGGCATTTGATTAATGCCCACAAAAATAATTAATTTTAAAACCATTCAAAAAAAAATTCTGTGACAGCGATTTCTTAAATTCTTCGAGCTCCTGTCCAGAAATTTTAGGATGCAATAAAAAGTTATGAATATGGTTCCATATAGTTCTACTTAGAAATACCAAAAACCCAAACCAATACCTCATGAAGATCTTTCGTCACAGCAATCTGCCGACCTTGTTTTTTCTTTTTCTCGCGTTCCAAAGGCGAGGCTGTAATTAAAATTCGCCATTACTTTCTAACTTTCTACATATCGATACTGTTCTGTAAAAATAGCTTATTACACGCTAATTAGGAGTTGCTTCCAAAAAATTATACTAAACTAGTTTTACTTGAATCTAATCTCACGTGAGTACTTATGTCACATTAAAATAACTAGAAAAGAAAAAACTAATAAATGAAAAATACAATTTTAAATCTTCCATCCGTTCGTTCAAGTGGTAACCGCCGATGTGAAATTAATGTAACATGATAACACTATTGAAAAAGACACTAACCTACAACACTACTAAGAATACTGCGACTTCGGTCAAGTCTTCCAGTCGAATTAATATCTAAAATTTTTTGTACCACATAAATTTATACAGAACAAAAAAGTAGGCTAAACAATAAATAGAAAATTTAATGATTTAGCACCACAACTGCAAAAAAATGCTTGAAGAATTCAAACTTGAATACCAATCAAAAAAGCAACTCTCTTTGTCACGTACGGAAAAGATATCAAACACATCATACTACTTACTTTTTTCACTACTGGTGGAAATATTCTCCGCTGAAGATAATTTTGCTGATGGCTCCTTTTCATCAGGAGATAATGCAGTGTCCTAGAAAACATTAATTGAAAATATCTTAAAGTGATGATTTTGAGGGCTTTCCACTTTTCACTTTCATTTATTTGTATCTGCTGTTGACAGTATTAAAACTCTGAAAGAAACACCTCAACCGAATCCCTCCAAACTTACACTTTTTGTAAATTATAAATCGAAAAACAAGACCCACTGCATTTCACTTTAACGTTTTACTTGTTATAAGTACGATTGCTGTTAACTTTTCTTGCACTCAATTGCTTTCATAATATTTTCTGCATTTTTTTTCCAATTACATCATTAAACTATTAATGTGTTCCCTAAAAAAAAAAACATCCATAATTGCCTCTTTTTAAAACTTTTTCATCCCTAAAATTACATTATCAGGTTGTCTTGTCCCGACAAAATTTCAGCCTTTTAGAGGGTACGTCGATACCATAGATTAGTTTTTGACCTTTGCTGTAGATGTCATTTCATTTACTTGTTTCTCCATCTTTATTGATTTCCTTTAATCTTTCACCCGTTTTATGGACTAGTGAATGTAATCACAGTAAAATCTCGAGTTGTACTTAATCTCAAGCTGTTTTAGACATAAAAACTTTTATATCTACTGAAAAATCCCGTTATTCAACTAAAAAGTATGTCGTATTTTTATTTTTTATTTATTTTTTTTGATAAAAACGCTTACATCCAGACAGAAAATCGAATTAAATTCAGAAAGGACATGCCTCATGAATGTGTGATAATTTGCGGAAACAATTTGATCGATATATGTGATCCGGTCGGATGGTGACACTTATACGAGGAGTTGAAGTGATGGGTCCTGGCTCTCTCTGCCTTATCTTTCCGATTGGTGATATTAAATCCAGTGATGGTAACGAGTGGCTACTTGCAGAAGAAAAGTTTCCATATTTTCCTTGCTGCTCGACTTTCCCCATTAACATGTCATCGTTTGATGACATCGAAACTAAAAAAAAAAATTGATCAATAGCTGCTGAAGGAGATACGTCGAACGTGTCCCAATACTAACACGTTTTATTCATCGTGACCTATTTGACTACGTATACAATGGGACACAAGTGTTATGTATTTCAAGGCATAACTTGAGCTACCAGGGAGTTATATTCTGCTTTTCATCAAAACTTAGCACGATGCAATGAAACATCACTGTTAGACTAAAGTACGGTAAATCAAAGAGGAATGAAACATGGGAAATTAAACAAATGAATGATAAAGGATAACTATCGTACATGAAAACATGATATATCCTGTACACTTATATATAGACCTCACGGTATCCATAGCCCATTATTCGAGGAATAAACGAACAGAGTAACAACGACACTCATGTTTACTACCTTTGTGTACTACCTGAAAGTAATCTACTCTTTCACCTGTACTAAATCAACGAACCCATTACCATGTAACCGCAAAATACCAGAATGCTACAATAACGCCACTGGGATTTCTTCTATAGGGCTGCATATGCTGGGTTGGTGTATTTTCCACACATGGATTTTTCTGGGATGGTCCTTCTTCACTGAAAGGATCGCGCATGTGAAGGGGTAGATCATCTTCAACTTATCAATCAAGGCAGGAGGAAGAATTGAGGGTGACCGCTTGAAGGACCCGTGTCTTTCCGCAAGGTTAAGTAGAGACAACACTCTAACAGAATAGCGAATATAACCAAGACATAGTAAAATACTCTCAAAAACTTTTCAAGCAATCAGAATAATGACCAATGGTAATTATTCATAGTTAACTGGCAACGGAATTCAGGAATTGAAATTCAGCTGGATGAAGACAACTAAATACTTTTCTTTTTCGTAAGAAGATTGGGAAAGGGAGGCTATATATATATATATATGTATGTATATGTATATATATAATGAGAAATCAATGGAACTTGGAACTTTTCTGATAAATTCGAAGTCGTTAGGTTTTTTTTTTTCTTCAAAATCGTAAATTGACAAAAAAAGCTCAACTCTTTTTATTAGTCTTTCATTCAAAGACACTTGTCATAGAAAGCTGACTTTATCCAGAGATATTAGAAATCTAAAATCCCTTGAAAAGAGTTTTGCTTTTGAATTCAAGCATATACGGTGAGAGAAACTTCCCTTGTTTATATGAAGTTAGGTTAATTTCATTAAAAGTGAACTTTTCTATGCCATAACTGTAACTTGATAGTTTAATAACACGTTGTATCAGTATTCATCTGTGGAATCCACTTCCCAGCTCAGTCCGTATCTCTGCACATATCGGGGAGACTGCTATCATCGCATCAGTCATCATATCGTACTTCTCTTCGTACCACCAAACATTTAAGAAATCTTTACCCTTCAAGACCGATTTTAGTCTTCTCAGAACGATTCTACCAAAAGCGCGATATGCGCTAATTGAGACGTATAGTTTGCTTAATATTATAGTTTTAATATATTATAGTTTGCGTATAGTTTGCTTAATTGACGTATAGTTTGCTAATCGGTCTTAATTGAATTTCGTTTACTAACTTAATGTCCATTGCGACCATGCTAGTAGTTATAAGTATTGGAGTACGTGATATGGTTCAATTCTATTATTTTAAGCGTTGGAACACGTGATCGGCACTCATCATCGTATTGCCAAAATAATCCATTGTCATAGTTAAGCTTGATATGGTTCACTTTAAACTAAAGTTGTAAGAACTTGGATATTCTGTTTTCAGATCTCAAATAAAAATGTCTGAAGATGCTTCAAGGCATACGATGGATGTCAGTAATAGCAAGGTCTGAGTTTTTTCATCAATCATACACGAGTCTTCATTTCGCTAGTTTCTTAGCTCTGTG